TATGTGTGTGTGTGTGTGTGTGTGTGTGTTGTGAAAGATGGTCTATAAACCACGAGCCGCCACTGATTATTTTCCTTTACTTTGAGTCCAGTAAAGAGTCATAAAAACGTGTGCTCTTCCTTCAAAATAACATATTCCCTTGTAAATGTAAAATCCCACTGATTTCAGCAGTTATTCAAATACTTATGCCACTGTGGGCGCATCGTGTGTGTCGGAGAGATTCTGATATAATTAATTAACCGATATCTCCAAATACAACCTAGGGCTTTTCAAAAATCGACACTAGAGCACATATAACCACATGATCATTTTCATATCTTGGTACAACACTGTTGTTGTTGTTTTTCAACCGACTTGAAGGAATTGCAGAAAGTCTGCTTGGGGTTCGTTCGTTTGTTTGTTTATTGGGGGTGGTGGGAGAGAGTGTGTTTATTTTTATGCTCGTCAGTTGATTTTGATTTGCGGGACGGAGTTATGGCAGGAAACAATTTTGTCAAGGTTGTTTTTTTCATGCTAGCGTGAATGCTACGAAAATGCATCACATTAACCGTAAAGACACTCTTAAAACATAAATTGGACATTGATGGATATTAAAATCGTGTAGTTATTAAACGTAGCCTACCAATTGACCAACCTTGTTAAGTTCTCCTTTTGCGGCTGTGAACGAATCAGGCACTCAGGATGGTAGTGATTTTTGTTTGATTTGTTCAAACGGAGTTATGGCAGGAGTTATGATTTCTCCGTATCAAATATGGCGGGAAGCAGTCGTCTTTGCAACAAACGCAACAGCCGGAGGAAGAAAGAAATTTGAAGTATCTAGTCTAGGTTTGAATTTATACCGTTTTTGATTCCAGCGTAGCTGATCAATGACGTCGAACGATCCCCTATAAATGCCCCAAACTCAACCGCCAACGCAAAAGAAGAATGCACTGCTTCGAGGAACCCCCACCCTCTTCCACCTCACCCCTTTCCCAACCCAATTCCGAGAAACGTTGTCGCCCCTAGTTGCAGAAGATTACAAAGCTAAGGGGGTTCTACAGTTTGTTGTAAGGTCCTTGGGTGAGGTCCATGGCAACCACCAAAACAACAATAAACACTGAACACGACAACACAAGCAACAGTAACCAAGCTGCTGTCGTGGTTGATCAACCCTTTAATTGAAAAATGTTAGTAACATAGCTTAACGTTCTTCTTCGATCGTGTGAGATTTCCGACTGGAAGTTCCAGGAATCATTCACTGATTTCTGCAGCAGTTCCGAGTTGCGATGGAATATTTGGGTCTTATTTATGGTTGCTATGCTTTGATAACGGGTTTCTTCAGCACACCCAAGGCCTTTAATATACCCCTTTCTCAATTCATTGGTTTTATGACAGACGTTTGTGATATAAAGGCATGTTGTCCTTTCACAACTTAATTTTTTTTAAATGTTAATACATGCACAACTTGCTAGTAAAAAGAGTTTTTCTCTTCTACTCTAGATGGTGGTAAAAATGTGCATGCTGATTGAAAGTACATTTGCAAACACATTTTCATAATGGGTTTTTTTTCAGGCACGGAACATCTTTCAACCTAATGGACAATAAACAGCGGCTCAGAGATATTTTCTATAGCTTGGTGCAAGCCGTCACGTCGCGGAACTTCGTACGAGGACAAAAGAACACGGCGGGTAAAGCGACTGCCCTAAGAGTGAATATAGCATCCCTTGATTGCCAAATTGGCCTCCGTGTTGCTTACAAAATCAGTAATGAGACGGTCTTGAGTCTCGAGCAGCACAGACACATGAAAAATTTTATCAGCAATACATGTACATATCATCCAGCCTTTCTCTAACTATCAACAAAACATTTATTGTCAGCATGACACTAATCTTTTTTGTTCATTGAATTTTTAGAACCTATAGTTCCTGTTTGGTGACTATTCATCGCCTTCTCCCCATTAATAACGTACCTGGCCCATATGAGTCTAGCCGGCCAAAAGAGAAATCGTCTAGTGAAGATATATGAGAATTATAACGATGAGCGATATGCTCTCAGCTGTCAGAGTCTGGGCCGAATCAATGGGCCTACCCCCTCCCTTCCCTCCCCTTATCCACCGTCACCCCAGCTAGACACCAAGTTTTATAATTAGCATTTGACACACTTCTCCACTTTGTTACAACAGCGTTCTGAGAACTGAGAAGTGTGATGAAGAACGTTTGATTAAATAATGATGGAAAACTGTTGTGTGCTAACTTTGTCCAGCTTTGTATAGTATCTGATTGTAGACTTAATCTGCATGGGACAGCGTCATTGGTACAGTATCAATCGACTTTTTGCCATCATACAGTACTGTTCTTATTACATATTTACAGGTCGAGTGCACGTCGATATTGCGTGTGGGTGTGTAGAAAGTAAAGGTTTTTAGTTAAAGTACCGGAGGCCATAACCAGCAGTTTATTGCGCTTCTCACTATCAGTTTGTTTTATAGCATAGACTCTAATAGTGTTTCTTTTTCTATGCAGTTCAAGTCAGTTTCTATTAACTTTCAGCTCTTTCATATTATATTAAAATGTTTACAGCGATGTGTGTGTGAGTGAGGGAGGGGGTGGGGATGGCGAAAGTAGGGGTATAAAATGAGGAGAT